TTTACACCTTTCGGGAGACTAGAATCCCCTATAGAACTGAAAGTGTACACTTTTTGTTGTTGTTTTTTTTTTTTTTTTTTGGGGGGGGGGGGCTTCTGAACTCAGCAACTGAGGTAGTTATAAGATGGCAAAAGTAAGCTTATAAGTATGGTAACCCATGTCCGAAGCTGAATCAAGGCACTTATACTTGTATTTTAACCCTCCTTAGACCTACCCATGAACCTTCAAGTAACCCATGCATTTTGGTCCGATTGGGTTTCCGACTCGACGCGCACATGTGTGAAACTTCTCGACACCAACCGTCCTGCGCCCTTTGCAGGTCTACCCGCCTGAGCAGCCAGAATGGGGTTAGGCTAGGACCCAGAGTAGGCCCTTGTTCCCTTTTTCAGTAGGGTTTAGGTTCACTTCTAACCCCCTGTAAACTAAAAAGGGCACCCTTCCTAGGTTACTCCTGAGTCGAGAAGGAGACCACGGCCCCCCCCATGCCAATGCATGTTCCGACCATGGTTTGAGGTTAGGGTCCACTACTCAACCATCATATTATCTGCTGCTGGACCTAAGCCCTAAAACCCTAAACCCCCTAAACTCTTAAACCCTCAGCCCCAGACCCCAAGTTCGCCCGATACCGGCCACCTTGAAATGTTTTCGAGTTTGGTGGTTTAGGGTTTAGGGTTTAGGGTTTCGGCTTGCCCTGCCGGAATGACCTCTTGAGGCACAGGTTCCTGCAGGTACCTTTCGCCCGGGTTTACGATCTTTGGGCTTAGGGGAGACTTCACGCTGGCTTGAATAGTAGTCGCCGGAGGCTGTCGAAGCTGGTTGCACTCTGTTTGTTTTTGGTACGCATGCTTTAGGGCTCAGTGCGGTAGAGGCGAGGGTGCGGTGTTAGGCCTTATGACTTCGATTCAGTGTTACCCAGGCTACCCAGTCTGAGCTTGAGGCAGCCCGATTCCGTTTGCCGAGGTGTGCTGCGCACCCCGGCACGGGCAGTTCCAGACTTTTGTGTTTAGGTCAATGTGCCAGGGAGAGGAGCTCGAATTCGGCGACCAAGGAAGAAAAAGCAGGGAACTTCGCAAACCCTAAGCCCTAACACATGGGGTTTTAGGGTTTAGGGTTCAGGGTTTAGAGTTAACCCTACAGTAAACCCTAAACCCCAAACCCTAAACCCCAAACCCTAAACCCTAAACCCTGGGTCCAAAAAGGGCAGGCAGTGGTAAGGAGACCTCCTGCCTTAAACAGAAGGCTTTGGCTGATAGAGAAGCTCGGCAAACTCTCGGACTGACCTCCAGCCGTGAATGGTAGGCCCTAAACCCTCAACCCTTAACCCTCAACCCTCAACACTAAACCCTAAACCCTAAACCCTAAACCCTAAACCCTAAACCCTAAACCCTAAACCCTAAACCCTAAACCCTAAACCCTAAACCCTAAACCCTAAACCCTAAACCTCACCCTAAACCCTAAGCCCTAAACCCTAAATCCTAAACCCTTCCCCGAAGACCACAGCTCTGCTGAAAACCCCTCGCCATGCTTTCGGGAAGAACCTAAACCCCTGAGATAGTGTCAATTTCTCGGTTTTGGGGTTCAAGAAGATCTTATCCAGTAAAAGCTCAACTCGGTGGAGGTCTTATATATGCTACTGTTTCCCTAAGCCCTAAAGCCTCCAGCCCTCAAGCCTTCTTATTATGTTTCATCATCGCGGGTTGCGCGTTGTGGCTTGAGGCTTCGGACCAGAGAACGGCAGCTAGAAAACGGCCGCTCTCTGGTCTTTAGGGGTTTAGGGTTTAGGGTTTAGGGTTGGAATGTTTTCTCGGTCCCCCAGTAGTGCCCTTTTTCCCACATGCACGGCATGGACGGGACACGGTGAGCTAGTGCTGGACATCTTATCCTGGCCAAGTTCCCTAAAGTTCTAAGCGCAGCCCGAAATCCTAAACCCTAAACCCTAAACCCTAAACCCTAAACCCTAAACCCTAAACCCTAAACCCTAAACCCTAAACCCTAAACCCTAAACCCTAAACCCTAGTCAGGAGTCCCCGTCGTCAGCGACTCCGACTTTTCCTTAGCGTTAGCGGGGCCGCGGGACGAGGCTCGAGGTTCACACTGCGGGCTTTGCATAACGGTTTAGGTTTAGGGTTTAGGGTTTAGGGTTTAGGGTTTAGGGTTTAGGGTTTAGGGTTTAGGGTTACGGAGTCCTAAATCTTTGCCAACGCTCTCCCCTCATGGTCCCCATGATGCCATGCTTTCTATTCCTCAACAACCCAAGACTGTCATTCTATTGATTTAGGCCCCCCCCCCCCCCCCCCCCCACAAAAAAACATACAAAACATTCAGAGCTCCCCATCAGGAAGACCTTAAACCCCTGATGCCGACATGCAGATCAAGGGCCCCACAAAGAGAAAACCCAAGAAACTAAATATGTCCCTTGCCGTCTTCTGGGTGTAGGCCTTGGGGATATTTCATAATTTCCCTTATTGGGTTTCAGAGGGCTTACATTGAGGAATATTTTTTCTGAGGGTTTTAGGGGGCCATCCTAGTCTCATGGCGGAGGAGGCCTAACCCAAACCTTTCGGCCTCTTGGTGGGAGCATAGTCGCCTGCAGGACATCAAAGTTACACCTTTCTAGTTTCTTTGAGGACAAAGCATATTCGGGGGGCGGGGGGGTCAAGCCATATATGGGGCTCAGGCGAAAAGGAGGCCTGTGGAACCCGGAGCCTAAGCCCTAAACCCTAAACCCTACACCCTAAACCCTAAACCCCAAACCCCAAACCCTAAACTTCGCAAGCCCGCGGCACAGGTCGCCTTGCAGCTTGTCTGACTGGCCCGAGACCCAGGATACAACTGGAGAGGGATAGGGTTTAAGGTTTAGGGTTTAGGGGTTTAGGGTTTAGGGTTTAGGGTTTAGGGTTTTAGGGTTTAGGGTTTAGGGTAGATAGAACGAGCCTTACCTTAAGACCCCCCCCCCGGCCCTCCGGCAAAAACTATGGGATTAGGTTACCTGAGCATCCTAAGAGAATAGACAATGAGTTACAAAGGGGCTCTCAGATCCCCTTCGACCCTAAGCCCTGCCAGCAAGCCCTACAAATCTGGAATCCGGAACCCAGGTCTTGGGCTCTTAGGGTGGTCTTCAGGGCTTGGCAGTCTCTGAGCCCGCCTGTGCCAGGTGGTGGGGCTCGAGTGTTTAGGGCTTGTATGGATAAGTCGCACGAGCCCCTCCCCCAAACAAAATGGAGGCTGCTCAGCGGCTTATGGCTCCAGGGTTTAAAGGGGGGAGGGTGGGTGTACAGTTTAGGGCCTCCAGGGTTCGGTGTTCAGAGGGGGTTCGAAGTTGAGGGTCTCGGGTTTTGGGCTCAGGAGGGGGTGGGTGGGCTTCAAAGCTTTGGGTTGAGGGTCCACGGCTTGCGTCAGGCTTCAGACTTCAACATGTGGGATTAGTGGTCTCGGGTTTAAGGTTGCAGTTTTGGTATACCGGTGGCGCAGCTTCCTTCTGGCATATGGTACTACAGCTGCCACTTGTTTTTCCAATAAGGGTAGACAAAGAGACGGCCATATCAAAGCTCAGTACTTGATATGCGCCAGCACGAGAACAGCAAGAAGCCCAGATGAAGCGTCTGGTAGCTCGGCCCTGGAGCGTCCTCATCCGCACGTTACCACTCTGACGGCATCAAGACTGCCAAAGGTGTGCCCGGCATGTTCTGCTGCATGCGGTGGCAACAGTGGCACATTAGGGTTCACAAAGATAGGGGACCCCTAAAATAGCCCCTCAAAAGTAGGGTTCCCTGAAAATGAGGCAAATAAGGTGCTCCGAAATCCCCCCAATGGAGGTCGTGACAAAATCAAGCAACTTGGCTTCGCGCAGGCTTTTGGCTGGCTGTTGCTGGGACTAGGATGCCGCTTTTTGGGGGGCTCTTTTGAGGGAGCCCTTCAAGAACTGGCTTCACGATGCGCAAGGTGCAAGATCCGAGAGTTTCAGAAGCTGGTTCAGGATTCAGCACGAACGATAGTTCCCCTAAACCCTAAACCCTAAACCCTAAACCCTAAACCCTAAACTCATGGCCATGGCCGCGTCCGCTGCCGATGGCGCACCCAGGGGTCGCCGGGAGCGAGTGGAGCTGGTGACCCTCAGTCTGCCCATGAACTTAAGGGGTTTAGGGTTTAGGGTTTAGGGTTTGGGGTTCAGGGTTCAGGGTTTAGGGCTAGGGTTTAGGGGTTTAGGGTTCAGGGGTTTAGGGTTATCCTAAGTCTGCCCATGAACTGGTGGGTTTAGGCGTTCAGGGGTTTAGGGGTTCAGGGCTATGGGATTTAGGGTTTAGGGTTCAGGGTTTTAGGGGTTAAGGTTTAGGGTTCAGGTTCTTGGGGGTTTGGGTTAAGGGTTCAGGGGGTTTAGGGGTTTAGGATTTAGGGTTCAAGGGTTGAGGGGGTGTAGAGGTTTGGGGTTTGGGGTTTAGGGTTCAGGGGTTTGGGCTTTAGGGGTTCGGGGTTGCCCCGGCCTCAGCACGGGTTCAAAAAAGGGGTTCGGGGTTTAGGGTTCTGGGGTTTTGGGTTTAGGGCTGGGGGTTGAGGGGTTTTGGGGTTTTGGGGTTTTGGGGTTTGGGGTTAGGGGGTACAGGGTTTGGGGTTTAAGGGGACTAGGGGTTTATGGGGTTTAGGGATTTTGGATTTGGGGGTTTAGGGTTAGGATTTAGGGATAGGGGTCTAGGGTTTGGGTTTAAGGTCGTTTGGGGAGTTCAAGGGTTCAGCGGTTTACGGGTTTAGGGGTTTAGCGGTTTTGGGTTTGGGCTTTAGGGATTTAGGGTTTCGGGTTTAGGGCATAGGGTGAGTACATGTCTTGCACATGGTGCTTTAATCTTTCTCTATGCCCCTAAGAAAAGGCAACAAGCTTTATCATTGCTTCCAGTGTTCCAAGCACAGCATAGATGGCCCTAGTTGTGATGCCATTTTGGGGTTGTTTTCAATCACGTCGGGCAGCTGTCGGATCAAGCAGCGCTTTGCTCGCAAAGACTTGTGGGATGGCAGCGCGAAGTCTGTTTTCTGACGGTGGCTGGAAGCGGCCGGATTCCGAGATTGGCGAGTTTCTGGGAGACGTCCTGAAGCCATGGAACATCCCGCCCTGGAACCATCAAATTCATCCTGGCCTGTTGACTGATGCTTCTAGGGTCTGCAGGGCAATTGAGGAAGACTCCACCGTTCAGGAGTGCCAAGTTTTGGGCATGTTGCGAGGTGCACTAGGAGAGCACATGTGTGTCATCGAAGAAGACCCGCCCTTTCCCAACATCTTCAAAGTGCAGACGGAGAACAATCGATGCCATTTGGTGTGGGACACAGCAGCCCAGTGTCCCCAATACACAGTGAAGGTCAGCAGTGTTCTGCTTGTGGGCTCTCGTGGCCAGGGGACACAGCTACCTGACTCTCTGTCATAGTTGGGTACCATGTTACCGTTTTAAGGGTACTTAAACCCTATAAGGAATAACGATTTAGATTTTTAATGTTATCCCAACCATGAACTAGGACTCGGACATGGATGTTGTCACGCTGGTCAGCTTGGAAGGTGATGGATCTCCGCACGTGAAGGGCCACTTCTTGAGCTTTGGCCACCGCAAATTTGCTGAGTCCTTGTTCAAACGTTTGCAGGAGGCAGAAGCTGTTGAAGTGTTAGATGCATATCCGCACAAGGACCGAATCACGTGTTGCGTGGGGAATGTGTCCGTTGATGTTTTGCTGGCGTTGCCGCCTGAGAGCCTTTCGTTGGAAGACTTGCGCATGGATGAGCCAGGAGTTTGGATTAAGACCTACAGCTTGAACCTGGCAAAATGTCGCTGGGCAGCAGGTCAGCCGGAAGTCGTTCGGAACGCAGCAAGGTTGATGAAGCTATGGGCCCGCGCTGTGTGCCAGCAAGAATCCACAGCCCCCCTCGCTCACCTGGGGGTGGACAACGAAGAGGATGACCGAGACATGAAAATCAATATGCATGCCCTGCTGGTGGTGATTGCAGCTTTGCACCGAAGCTGTCTGACAGAATCTGCGGTGGAGCTGTGCGCGCATACCTGGCAGTTGCTCAGTTCTTTGCGAGTGGATCTGCTGGTTCTGGTCAGTTTTGACACACATTTTGTCCCCAAGCTTTCTTGTGGCCCACGATTCCACAGGGAACTTGTTGCGTCGTTGAACTGGCAAGGATGCGGGGTTACCGGACTGGCTATAGAAGACATCATGCAGCCAGATCGCTTATACTGTTGCAGTGAGACGATCAGACTAGAAACAATCGCTACGTATGCTGCATGTGCCCTATCCCGCCTGACTGTGGTTGATAGCTGGTCGCAGATGACGGATCCTTGCGACAAAGCGGACCCTGGCTTGAGGGATGTGTTTGCGCTATTCGTTCCTTTCTGCGCAACTCATTTCTCACACTTTCTGGAAGTCAGAGGAAGAATCAGATGTCCCTCGGGACATGACATGCTTCCAGGTGCAGTGGCTTGCAACCTTGTTTGTGACGATTGCCAGCTCACAGTTGACGGATCATTCACGGTGGGCTGTCGCCAATGTGATTTTGATCTCTGCAAAGACTGTGTCCAGGCAGATGCTTCCATGGCCTGTCACTTCCCTGTTCCGTTTCAGAAGTGGCCTCCTGATTCACCTCTGCAGCATGAGCGCGTGGCAAGACATATCCCAAACAAACCCTAAACTCACATGCCATGTAACCCTAAACCATAAACCCTAAACCCAAAACTCACATGGTCGTGTTTCTCATGTGCACGAACCACATGACCCCTGCAAAGGTGTTTACTAGTCGACCTGCAGGCTCTACTGCAGCTCCTTTTTTGGGGTTAGTCATAGGGGATTCTAGCATACTGCCCTAAACCCTAAACCCTAAACCCTAAACCCTAAACCCTAAACCCTAGACCTCAAACCTAGGTCATAGGAGCCTTTGGAACCCATGTGGGACAGGGAGCAGCTGATAGTCGCAAACAGGAGTGAGCCCCCCCCTTCGGCATCATACCAAGGAAACTCCATGTTCCGCACGTATGGGGTTTAGGGTTTTGGGTTTAGGATGTAGGGTGTAGGGCTACGCCAAACCCTTATCCCCAAAATAGGATAAAACCATGTCCACTAATTGCCTGAAAGCAAGTTGCTTGAATCCCCGAAAGATCACCCATCTATATATATATATATGTATACATAAGACCTACAAATATTTCCATATTTGTAAGGAACCACACCCTGAACCGTAAACGCTAAACCCGTATCCACCCGTAGCAGTAATCTAGGACCGTGAGTGGCCCTTATTCTCCCTTTTTTTTTTTTTTTGGGGGGGGGGGGGGGGGTGGGGGTTTAGGTTCCCTTCTAGGTCCCTTTAAACCCAAAAAGGGCACCTTGCCTATGCCTGAGGCACACGTGGTTTCCTGAATACCGTGCTCCTGAACCCTAAACCCTTCACCCTTAACCCTAGTTCGGGTACCTGCAAGAGGCTTGTTGCAACTTTCAGGGGGCACCACAATTGGGTTTATAGGGTTTAGGGTTTAAGAGGTTTGTAGAACCGCCGCGGGAGGTTCTGCGCAAAGCAGCCATGTCCCATCAAAAACAAATTCGATCAGCCGAGGAGGCTCCATCACACAACAGGTTTGGGACTTTGTCTTGGGGTAACACCCCGCATAGTCCCAAAGGTTGACCGTTAGTTCCCGTATAGGATACTGGACACCTAAGAAAACAAGATGTCTTGCCTCTTCTCCCTAAACCCTAAATCCTGAATCCTAAACCCTAAACCCTTTCTGTGGAAACACCCCAGGATCAAGAACCGGAACATCTCCGCACGTGACGAAGGCCTCTCCCGATGGGTTGGTCCAAAGTGGGCCACACGGGTACAGTTGGCCACGAACTTCGGAAGCCGGGGTCGTCCCTGGGTACGCCTTTAAGAAGGGATGCTTTACTTGTCTTGCCCTTTCTTGGGTGTTGTTACGAGGTTCAGAAGTAGCAACACACATCAGAGGGTTTTTTTAGGGCTATCCCTAAACCCTAAACCCTAAACCCTAAACCCTAAACCCTAGACCCTGAACCCTAAACCCCAAACCCTAAACCCTAAACCCGCAGTTCGGGCTTTAGGGGTGCCCTCAGGTCCCCACGACAACCTCCGTGTCTCTGTGTGGCTGGATGAGCCTGAGCTCTTCTGTTTCGGAGTTCGGCCTCAGCTTCTTGGGGCAACCCAGTGGTGCCGTGATGATAACCTGGGTTTAGGGTTTAGGGTTTAGGGTTCAGGGTTCAGGGTTTAGGGTTTAGGGTTTAGGTAGGTCCCCTCATAGAGTAACCCCCATACCCCAAACAGTGTACCCCTCCTCGTAATATGGTTATATACTGGGCTACGAAGGCTCTACGACAGGTTCAACGTCCGCTTTGAGATCATGGTTTGCAACACCCAGGAGACCGCATCTCTTAAAAAGACTGGCAAGTTTGACTTTCTGCCGAGGATAACGGGAGGACATGTCTACACGGAGTGGGACACCAGCCTTTCTGTCTCAGACATACAGCAGCCTGATGCCGGCTGGTTGAACGATGACGGGGAGCTTCGTGTGCAAGCGGTTGTGACCTTTGTGTCAGATCGACCGCCACAGCGTGCAGAAGACTTCACGCAGCAGATAACGCAAGTAACCTTCCAGATGTCAGAAGGCCCACCCTTGTTTTTTGACAAAAGAGTCCTGGTTGCCCAGTCGGAGTATTTTGCAGAGATGCTCTCGAACGAGAGCTGGAGAGAAGGACGCACCCATGAAGTCGACCTTCGCAACAACCCCGACGCAAACCATCAAACAGTGAGTGCCTGGGAGCCAGAGTAGGCTCTTATTATTTTTTTATTATTATTTATTTTATTTTATTTTATTTTATTTTTTTGGGGGGGGGTTGGGGGTTTCCCTTACCATCCTCTTAAAACCAACAAGGGTGCCCTATTGTTTTTCCTAGGTGACTCCTGGGTCTAGGTGCAGTTCTTACCTTCTTGCAGAAGGGCACCTTCGTGGCCAACGGAGATGCAGCGTACGCGATATCAGTGCGACGCCTCGCTGATCAGTATCGGCTCACGGACCTAGTTACAGAAGTCGATCATGAGTTTCTTGCCTGTTTAGGGTTTAGGGTTTTGGGTTTAGGGTTTAGGGTTATTAGTTATTAGGGTTGAGGGTTTAGAGTTTAGGGTTTAGGGTTTAGGTTCATGGGTAAGTTATAAGGAGGGCTATAAGTGAGGTAACGTGTATTATGAGTCGGGTTATAAAGTAAGGTAGCCTGTATTCTAGCCGTATAGCCTTCATGAACCCACTCATAAGCCTGTTTTATAACCATGTACTCTTCAATGGATCAGAAGTGCCTCCCCACCCAGCCAGCACCACCCTCGACAGTATTCCCAGTGCCCCCTTATTCCCTTTTTTGGGGTTCAGGTTCCATTAGAGAAGACCCTAAACCCTAAACCCTAAACCCTTTCTATTCCTAGGTTACTCTTCGATTCTAGAAGTGTTTGGGAGAGGTGATGAGAGAGGGACCACCCCAAACGCTCTGAACCCTACAAACCTCTACAAAATCTGACACTATAAGCCCTCTAAACCCTAGTAACCCTCTCAAACCCTAAAAAATCACACAGAAACCCTGTAATAACCCTATAAACGCCTATAAAAACCCCGAACCCTAAAAGGTTGACCACTCTCCTGTCCGAAGACAACGTCTTGACGCTGCTGAGACAGGTGGTGGGCACTGGTGGGGTCTTGGAGACACGCCCAAAAGGCAAGGTTTTTGTTTATGTTTTTTGTTTTGTTTCACCCGCCCCTCTTCTTGGATTTAAGGGGATAATCTTTATGCAGAGGGCTTTTAAGGGCGATCCCTAATCCCTAGACCCTACACCCTAAACCCTGAACCCTAAATCCTAAGTGTTTTTTAAGGGCACCAAGCCATCCTAGGAGAAGTGCTGCGTGAAAATGTTGCGCGCAGACGACTGGGAGATCTTGGAGCAACAGAAGGACAAGCTGTGCCAGCTGGCCAAGGACTTTAGGGTTTAGGGTTTAGGGTATAGGGTATAGGGTTTAAGGTTTAGGGCTTTGCCCTAAGGGTCCATGTAGCTTTTTAGTATATACTTGGGCACCAGAATACCCTATTTAGGTGCATGGACCCTTAGGCTTTTGCAAAGGGTCAGGATCGCGCTCTTCTTATGGTGCCTGTCAAGCGCTAAACCCTAAGCCCGAAACCCTAAACCCGAAACCCGAAACCCTAAAACCCTAAACTCGAACTGATCCAGAGGTGAAGTGCCCCTAGTCTAGATGCTTTAACTAGAGAAGTCTTTGTGCGACGTTCGGTTTTGCACGGTTGGTTCCATACCTGCCCTAAACCCTAACCCATAAACCCTAAAACCTAAACCCTAAACCCGAACTGATCTGGCGGCGACATGCCCCTACTCTAGATGTGCTAACTAGAAAAGTCTTTGTGCAGCGTTCGGTGTTGCACGATTTGTTCCATACCTGCTCTAAACCCTCAACCCTCCCGGAACCCTAAACCCTAAAGCCTAAACCCTAAACTGCCACGCGGCCTCATTTGTTGGTCCCGGACCATGTACTTGATGTCGTTGCATCTATCTGGTTTGTCACAGAAGACAGTGCGACAGAAGCGTTCAAAACTACAGCAAGCTACTTGAAGGTTCATGGCTAGTTCTAAGTAGGGTTAGGAGTAAGGTAACCTAGACTATACGCTATAGTTATGGTACTTGTAAACCTACTTCTAACCGCGCTTGGACCTTCAAGTACAAACGTTTGTCTGTTTGCATTCGTCAGGACGACGCGGCTCTGTCAGCAAGAATTTCGGCGCATAGCATGCTTTTGTGTTGCCTGTCAGGGTTTGCTGTGGCTGTTACTTTCTAGTTCTGAGAGGGGAGCACCTTACATATCCCCTTATGTCAACGCTTTATACGGACTCTATAGGGATACCAGTTCCTTAGTTTTTTTGAGGTATCTGGGCTAAATATGGGCCCTTAACTACTTTAAAAGGGTTCTGCAGTATGGCGCTTTATGGGGTACAAAAGGGGTCCCCATTGAAGGGCCCATACTAAGGGACCATGTACCTACCCTAAAAAGTTTACTAGGGTTTAGGGTTTCGGGTTTAGGGGGACAGCTAGAGCTCGACATGTGCACAGAAGCCACGGCCCTCGCCAGCATCACTTCTCAGTAGGTTTAGGGGTTAGGTTTAGGGTTTAGGGGTTTCTTATTGGTTCTGGGTGGATCGGCATCCTTAAATGCCTGTGGCCATGCCCCAGAATGATTCGTGAGTTTAAGCAGCATGCTGGCTAAGAACTCATGGAGCTCTTTGTGGAGGCGGCTGGCGAATGGCGTGCGGCGAAGCGTGCGCGAACTCAGCCTCAGCCCACTGAGTGGGACGATGACGATTGGGACGAGTGGGACTAGCCCAACGTGGCTTGTGATTCCGACAGTTCCCTAAACCCTAAAACCTAAACCCGTGTAGCTGCTCTTCTTGGCCTTGCGGTGCAGCGCGGGCCCTGTTTTTGCAAGCATGTTTCGACCCTGAGTTATGCCTGAGCGACCGAGTGGTCAAAGTGCGAATGTGGCATGGTGTAGTGGAAGACATGACGCATGTATTGAGCCGTTTCGAGATCGCACAAGTGTTCAGATCTGGGGTAGGGTGCATTGGGGTCACATGCTTCTGTCTGCACGGCAGGTTGACGACCATTGCGGCAACAGCGGCACCAGGGCCATCGGTGGTACAGCTTTAGGGTCTAGGGGGTTTCGTCAGTGCGTCAGCGCGGCTTTCCTGGCGTTGGGGCCTGCGCCAACTGCGTCAAATAGTATAGACCCTAAACCCTAAACCCTAAACCCTAAACCCTAAACCCTAAACCCTAAACCCTAAACGCCGTTCTGAAGCTAGTGGTGGATTCTTGGCCCACGACATGCTGGGGCTCAGCAGGTTGTCTGGAGTCTTAAGAGGGCATCGGGTGGGTTTAGGGTTTAGGGTTTAGGGTTCAGGGTTTAGGGTTTTTAGGGTTTAGGGTTTAGGTTGTACTCAAGGCTGAGGGAGCTTAGTACTGAAGCCTCAACCCAGAGCCCTAATACGCGAAGCCTTAAACGCTATAGCCCGAATCCTAAACCCCAAGCTCTACTGAGTTCCCTTAAGCCCTAAACCCCAGACCCCAAACCCTAAACCTAAACCCCAAACCCCAAACCCTAAACCGTTCCCTCAGGTCCCGCCTCGCAGCCGGTGCTTGCCACTTCGAGACGAGGTTGGGAGGCACCCCCCTGAGGTTGTCTCGGGGTTAGGGTTTAGGGTTTGGGGTTTGGGGTTTATAAGTTTAGGGTTTGGGGTTTAGGGTTGAGGGTGGAAGGAGGGCAACCTTTGACCATTTTGGTTGTACAGAATCCTACTATACACGAGTTGTTAAGCTTTCCTGGGCTAGGGTATTCAGTGCCTAGGGCCTAAGGTTTAGGGTCAATGGGTTTGGTGTATTTTTTTCTGGGCGTTCAGTGGCCTAGGCTTCAAGGTAGCCCTCAAACCCGAGGTGAAGCCTTGAAGTCAAAGCCTTGAACCCTACAGCCCCCTTCAGTCCCAAGCCCTTCAGCTGTCAAACACCCCGAGACCCCAAACCTTAAACCCCAAAATGAAACTAGGCCCTCAACCCCAAACCCTAACCCCTTGCCGCAGCTTGCGCGTCGGCGCGACGCGCTGGGGAGGTTGCGGCTGCCCTGGCGGCTTGATCTTCTTTTTTTTTTTGGGGGGGGGGGGGGGGGGGTGGTGGTTTTTTGGGGGGGGGGGGGGGGGGTGGTGGGGGGGGCGGGTGGGAGGTTGGGATTAGGGCTGATGTATTTTCTGTTTGTTCCCCACCCTCGCTTTGGGGGTTGTTTTATTTTAAACTCCACTCTTCTCCCGGCCTGGAACTCTTCTCCTCGCCCGGTCTACTCCTCGCTCATCCCTGGAGTGCCCAACCCCAAAGTGTCCCTGGAGTGCCCAACTCTACATTGTCCCTGCATGCCCAAATTCAGAGTCTCCCTAAAGTGCCCTTCCCCGGCGTGCCCAGCCCCCCAGAGTCTCCGTGGAGTGCCCAACCCCACCTGGAGTGCCCAACAAAGTGTCCCTGGAGTGCCCAACCAATTCTAGAGTGTCCATGGAGTGCCTAAATTCAGAGTCTCCCGGGAGAGCCTGACCCCACCAGCCCCACACTCTCCCTCGATTGCCCAACCCCATATTTTCCCTGGAGTGCCCAACCCCAGAGTCTCTCTCAATTGCCCAACCCCAAGGTCTCTTTAACCTGATATAGAGTATCTCTACTAAGAGAGGGTGGGGATGTTCGATTTATGATTTTTGTTGTTTTTTTGGGGAGGGGGGGGAGGGGTTTAGGGAGTTTGGGGATTTGGGTTTTAGGGTGTGGGGCTCCTAGGGCCTTGGCTTTGGGGAACTGAAGCTTATTTGAGATACTCGGGTTGAAGGGAAGGGAGAGACTTGGGTTCAGGGAAATATGGCGCAGATGCTGTCAAGGATGCAGAAGAGGCTCAAGAGCAGCCCTGGCCCCATTGTGGAGGGCCGTCACACCTGTCTCCCACTCCACGCCGTCCAAGGCGGCAAAGCCACCCTAGCCTATTTTGTCTAGGGTTTCGGCCTAAACTCAAGTCAATTCCACAGGCCAGTTCAAGGTCCCCCCTTCCCAGTCCTACCGACCGTGGGAAGCGGGCGAACGACCTGGGTCGCCTTTGCGCCGTTGAGGTCGAGAGGCTTAAGCGCTCGAGAGGCTTAAGCGCAGCCCCCACGCCGCCCCCCACTGTAGGGGGTGGCCTAGGCCTTGAGTTTGGGGGCTTGAGGGCTGGAAGTTCAGGTGTCAAAGTCACCGTGTTTTCCTTCTTGCAGTTGATCTCATACACCTCAGCAGCGAAAGCCTAAGCCCTAAACCCTAAGATCCTTAACCCTTTGAACCTCTAAATAGGCCCGAACTCCTCAACCATAGAGGACCTAGCAGAGATAAGGTTGGGGCTTCCTCGGGGACTATCGCGTTAGAAGCAGGGATCCGGCTCAGGGTTTAGGGTTTAGGGTTTAGGGTTTAGGGTTTAGGGTTTAGGGAGGAAGGAGTTGGGGTTTAGGGTTACAAAGGGGTCTGTCAGGGTTATACTCCAGACATGCGAGGGAAAACTGCCCACTTGATGTCTAGACCTATTGCAGCCCCCTGAACACCCTAAGCCGTCAACGACTACGCACCATAGGGGGGTCGGGCCTGGCTGACGTTAGAACGTTTTGGGGGTTTAAGGCTGGTTTATGATTTCCTTGCAGCTTCAGACAGCAAAGGCTCTTGGTCCCGATTGCTGCGGCAGGCCTTCATCAAGGGGGATCTTATGCTGGAGCAGTAGCGCCCTCCACTCGAGGGTTTAGGTTTTATAGGGTTTCTGGTATCTGTTACTCCGTACGGTGAGGACGTGCGCGCTTGTAATCCTGACTCCTGGCCTCTCGGACAGTAGCCCCGGCCTACCTCGTGGCGTGAGGCCACTCTACTGATGCAGTTCATATGAGGGGATTCTGGTTGTTTAGGGTTCCTGATTCTTAAATGCGGAGCCTCATTTTTAGGCTACCCAGAAGGGCACCTAATTCAGGGAACCTCCCATCTCCCGACTCCCACATGCCGACTCGTTGAGGTAGGCTTTTGGTGCACCTCAGCCTCTGGAGCATGTCTCAGCGTGCGGTTTAGGGTTTGGGGTCTAGGGTGGTTCAAAAGGGTTTAGGGTGCAGTTGGCACATGGTTTTAGGAATTGGGATTGAGGGTTTGAGGTTTGGGGTTTAGGGTGTTGCGTGTTGTAACCTTTGCTGCATGCTATGAACGTGTTGACTGGGAGTGCGCAGGTGTGTGCTCTTGCGTGGGTTGGGCGGGAATTGGCAGGTGGTTGCGCAAGAGTTGCAACTTCACATGCCTTTGAGTTCAAAATCCGAAACCCCAAACCTAAACCCTGAACCCCAGTACTGGGAGACCCCGGGCCCCAATCGGGCCCTTTCGTATCCCCTAAGCCCTAAACCCTGCCCCGCGGGTCGCTTCATGAGAGTCCCCTCCTTCGGTCTCCTAAGTTCGTCTTTAACAACAACATCAACTCACAGATTTTCTCCGTGGCGGGCTTTGGGGAGGGTTACATGTTAGGGGTTTTAAACCCGATAAACCCTAAACTAGGCCTTAGGGTAAATAGGCACTCAGACGCGAATCCCCCCGTGTCGCGTTTTACCCACCCCCGCTTGCGCAAGCCCTTAGCTTGATTCGGTTGCCAAGAGGGGAGGGGTAGCGTTTAGGGTTTAGGGTTTAGAGTTTAGGGTTTAGGGTTGAGGGTTTAGGGTTTAGGGTTTAGGGCGGCAGCTCTGGCAAAGCACCCGTGCTGTTTCGAACGTTTCGGCTCAGCTCCCGAGCGCGCTTGTTTTGCTGCACGCCCGAGCGCCGGCGAAGAGGTGCATGCTCGAAGGGTCGGTCAACTTGAAGGTTCATGGGTAGTTATAAGTAAGGTTGTAAGTAAGGCAACCTGTTTTATAACCTTACTGAAGGCACTTATAACCCCGCGTTTAACTACCCATGAACCTCCAAGTATGGTTTAGGGTTCAGGTGTGGTTTCCTGCGCAGTCCCTTTGGTGAGAGCTTTGTCGTCAGGGAAAAGGGAAGGAACTAAACGCCCTCTACCACCCCACATTCCCACCTTCCTGAAAACAAGCCACTAAGACAAAGCTTAATGTGGTGATGATCGTACTCTACCCTAAACTCAAAACGCATCCTGAGTCCCCGAATCATAGACCCAAGGCCATGAACAACATGCACGCAGGGTTCGGGTTTCGGGCTTAGGGTTAGGGTTTCGGCGTGGGGTTTAGGATTTAGGGTTTAGGGTTGACAGGCGAAAACCCACAAGCCAGCTGCCAAAAGGGTTGACAGGGTTTAGGGGATTTAGGGGGTTTAGGGTTGATAGGGTTCAGGGCCGAGGGGCAGGTAGGAACTTATTTAGAAGTGTGGCCCTGTTTTGTTTTATCTCTTTTTTTTTGCGGGGGGGGGGGGGGGGGGGGTGGTGGTGTGGACGGGGCACCGCAACTTCACCAAGCTGTGTGAGTCTGGTAAGTTCGAGCCAGGGCCCTTTGGGGGAGAGCATACCTTGGATAACCAAGTGTTGCAAAGGCTTTATGCTGAAGAAGGCAGAGGGAGGAAACTGCTCACGTGCCCCTAGATGTTCCCATGGGGGAACATCCCAAGAGAGAGTTCCAACACGTCTATGGCTGGTGCATGCACTTGCGGAAGATTTGGCTACGACTATTTGCTTAAGAACAACCCCAAAGAAACAACAATATTCTTCCTTCTAAGGACAATATAGGGGTTGTCATCTCTTTTTTTTTCGGGGGGGGGGGGGGGGGGGGGGGGGGGGGGAGGGGTTCTTAAGGAAGTTGTAGACTAAGAGTGGGCTGCAGATGCAGAAAGATCCTCGTGCAAGTCAGGGGGCTTGATAAGGGCATTTTCTAGGATTTTGGGGGCCAAGCGACCATGTGGTCGTGCTGACTGGTCTTCTTAGGCTGAAGGAACATCATGATGTTTGGATTTGGAGAATGTGCAGGGTTGTATGTGTGTTGTAGGTTCAGGGTTCTAACGCTGGGTGTTGGCACAGTGGAGCATGCACGAACAAATTCACCTGACATGGTCATCCTAGCGGAAGCTTTCGCCTTAGCCTCTTACGTTGGACGATTGCTGCATGCCTGTGGCCACTGCACGCATGAGCTCCAATGATATCCTTAACCCTGAACCCTAACCCTTAAATCGCGTTGGCGTTTTCGGACTGTCTGATCGCGGGTAAGTTTGTCAAGCTCCGACGAGAGTTGTTTTGAGCACACCGGGGCACAGATAGGACCCTAGTATAGACCGCAAATAGCAGGATTCACGCAGAATAAGGACCCCAATAAGGCACCCCCTAATTTCGGATTTAAACCCTAAATCGCATCCGAAGCTTCGGGCTTTCACTTGTGGAGTAGTACGCTTCGTATACACCTCCTCCTGCCGCCAAAATGCGAAACAGCAGCTTATCTGAGCCATAGGCACAGAAGGGTCATCGCCAGACATATCAGGTAGACACAGGATCTTTGCAATGCAAACCGCCCTGTGTCGAGGCATTCTCTTTTTGCAGCGCCCGTGTCTGCACGGTCTGCCTCAATGTGGAACGATGGTCCTTAGCTCAGCTGTCTTTTGGTTTTATGTGGATTCAAGGGGTTAAGACTTCCTAACAGTCCTTGATAGGGATTTTTATGGGGGGGGCTACTAAAATCCCGATTAAGGGGCTGTTAGCTTTCGGGGGAACACCCCAAGAAGGTGGCAGTTTGTTTGATGCGAGGTGGAGGTCTGAGAACCCTGGGCTCATGGAGGTCCTCTCTACTGCCCTCGTCGTCTTGTGACTGCAATGGAATCTCCCTCTTTGCTCAGACTGTGTGTTTGAAAAGAAGGGTTTAGGGCTTAGGGTTTAGGGTTTAGGGTTCAGGGACGACGCACAGTTTGTCAAGCCTTCCGGTCAAGCGCATCTGAAAGCGTTTGAGATTGATCTACGATCTAAACTTAGTGTTTCGGCGTTGGGCTGCGAGGGGTGCGTCCAAGAGTGACAAACTCGCAGCAATAAATTTGGTTTTAAGTCGTTCCGCGCATCATTCCCCAGTGACCGCTCTTCTCGCCTTCGCCTTGCCTAAATTTGGGTTTGATTGGTATTCCAAACTCTAAGGAAAATTCTGTCATTGAGACCCCAACAATGTCCGTAATGTAGATCAACCCACCAGGGCTTTCGAGATGTTCAATTTCGCGAGTAATCTTTTCACCCGAATATTAACCCACCCCACCCCTATTAAATACCCCCCCCCATTTACTCTAATATAACTGTAATGAGAGCATCGGATTGGGATGTTCCCCCTTCTACTAACAGTCCTTCATAGGGATTATAGTACCCCCGATTATAATGCCTCAATATAGTGCTCCCTATTATACTCCCTTAATATAGTAACCCCTATGCACCCATTTATTACAATCCCCATTCAGGACTGTTAGTTCAAGGGGGGAACATCCCGAAAATCGTAGTTTAAGGCTTTTAAGTCCTTCAAGCTCAACCTGAAACTTGGCCTCCACCCTACACCCTAAACCCTAAACCCCAAACCCTAAACCCTAAACCCTAAACCCTAAACCCCAAACCCCAAACCCCAAACCCCAAACCCCAAACCCCAAACCCCAAACCCCAAACCCCAAACCCCAAACCCTAAACCCTAAACCCCAAACCCTAAACCCTAAACCCTAAACCCTAATTGGTTTCAAGTCTCCCCTGGCGACCACCAAGGGCCCGGAGTCGCCACCGAGGTTGAAGGCAGGGGCTTGGGTTTTGGGGTTTAGGGTTTAGGGTTTAAGGCTTCGGGTTTAGGGTTTGGGGGTTTGGGGGTTTAGGGTTTAGGGGTTTAGGGTTCCGGATTTAGGGTGCGGGGTTCCGGATTATTGTCCGCGTGACAACCTGTGAGCAAGCAGTCGATCATGAGTCGGAAGCGATAGCTGCCGCCGCAAACATGAGTGCCCAAAACACCAACCTCAAACCCTTATCTTAGCCCTATAAAACCTCAGGAGGTCCAACGTTGTCAAGTCCTAGTTGGCATGTCGAAGGGTATCAGGGGTGTGTGGAGGGCTCAGCTGCTTTTCCTTGCCCCTCTGCGTGACCATGGATTGCAAAGCGAGCCTTAGCCCCCTGGAGCAAAGTGCCGCTTCGTACCTGGATCAGCTTGCACTTGCTCTGGGAGACTTCTTGCCCCTGACTGGATCTGTTGATGTCAGGCACTACGAGGTCAGCTCGTCACATGATGGGCACTCCGGGCACACTCTCCGCACTGTAGCCGTGGACACGAACCGCTTTCCAGCAGGGTTCAACAACGTTGATCCTGCAGACCACACGCATCTTGCAGCTGCCTTCCGGACATCTCCGTCTTTGCAAGCCGCTGATGAAATCGTGGTGGTGCATGAGGGTCATACACGCATGCTTGCGTATCACCAGAGTGTGGATGCTCTCGTCGCCATCCTCCAGACGGCCTTTCCCACCAAGGCTGTCGTGCGAGTGCCTCTGAACGAGCTGCAGGAGCGATACGGAAGCGCTGCAAGAAATGAAGCTGCTGATCATACAAGCCCGAAGCAATTTTTCCTCTTGAACGCCGATCTCTCTGTCGAGGTGGACGGCCAGGGCGACGACGCGGATGCACCGGCATCCTACTACCGATTCCTGCCGAAGCTGGATCGGTGCATGGGCTACTTAGGCGCTGAGTAGGTGACCTTTAACTTTTTGGGTAGTGAACCACTCATACAAATCATTCGTAAACAAAACGCCCTCTCCAGACCTGACAGCGCATACACAACATTCATAAACGTCCTCTCAAGACCTAACCTTTCTTTCTCCCTTCCCCCCCCCACAGAACTACCCTAAGCCCTAAACCCTAAACCCCAAACCCCAAACCGTAAACCCCAAACCAACCCAGTAAGGTTGGGATGTGCGCTCAAAGGCCGCGCACTTCGGCTTTCTCCACCCCATCCTTGAGCAGTGCTGCATGCGCTTAGGGGTCCCTCTTTCCACGCTGCAGGCCATGTAAGGGAATCCAAAGTTATACAGCGTTTAGGGTTTGGGGTATCAGCTGGGGAAGGCTCTGCTTTCAGGCACTTCCGGGCACGTGAGAGAGTCCTGGTTCAAAAAAAGGGTTTAGGGTATAGAGTTTAGAGAAGTTGTCCTGTGTTACAGGGTAGATAAGAGGCTCAAAAGGGTCCCTATTTGAGGTTCCAAATGAAGGGACCATGCAACTGCCCTGAGAGGCCAGTTTCGCAGTTTCGGATGCCAACATCTGTGTCGCCAACCCACGGCATCGGGAGCATCTCGCAGGTCTTGTAGATCGCCTGACAGCTGCCACAAAGGCACCGAACATCTTCGTGAAGAATGACAGAGGTACCTATGGCCTTGGCTTGTGGGCTTTCGCGAGGGGTAGCGAGCTCCGCAAGGGGAACTCGAGCATTCTAGACGCTGGGCTCTCTTGTTTTTGGCCTTCAACAAAGCCACCGTAGGCTGGTACTACGGTCAATTAACCCTAAACCCTAAACCCTAAACCCTAAACCCTGACAAGAACCCAGGACAAGCTGTCCTATGCGCGTCATGGTGGCAGGGCAACGCGGTTTTTGCTCCAAGAAGGACTTCCTGGTTTTTCGCAGGGAAGTAGGGGATTAGGGTTTACATACTTCCCTAATGGGTTAGTACCGCGTGCACAAGCTTCCCAATTTTCCAAAACCCTAAACCCTAAACCCTAAACCCTAAACCCTAAACCCTAAAGGCCCTAAACCTCAAGAGCCAGTAAGAGGAGTGCCTTCAACTTTGAGATGTGGACCTGGAGAACGTGAAGGGCGGCCATTGGAGCTTCCAGGTTCTGGTTTGGGACTAGGGATTAGGGGTTAGGGGTTTATGGTTTAGGGTTTAGGGTTCAGGGTTTAGGGCTACTGCTTGAACCATGAGTAGTTACAAGTAGGGTCTTATATAAGTACCTTAGTTAAGGTTACATATTCTGGATTAGATTACTTATAACTTCAAGTAGGCGATTTTAGGTACCTGAGATCCTCTATAATACCTTGCAGGATTGTATGGGGACCCTCATTTCAAGAATCCTTTGTTTGTTTTCTTTCGCTTTTTGGTTGTGGCATGGGCAACCTTTTCATGACGGCCCAGAACTCAGGATAGTCTTGGTATGTATCCGTGGAGAGGTTTGTTCGTATTTTGCTCGTTTGGGTGCTGGATCGTCCACGTCGACGGGGAGCTTGAACGTCCCCGGAAGCTGCTTCGTGAGACGCGAGGAGTTCGAGAGCTCGCCAGAGTTCGCGGAAGCAGCGCAGCTGGTGCAAAAGAACTGGGGCCGCTATGTCCTCCTCGGAAAAGCAGCCATGCTCGCCATGGCGCGCGAGGCGATTTGGTACAGCCTTGGTCTGGCATCAGGCAGTCTGGATCTCTATGAAGCGCCACGCGCCGAGTGGGTGCAGGTGGCGGAGCCTCGTGCTGAAAGCAGCAACTTAGGGGTACTTGGAAAGGTTTTCTAATTTTTGGGCCCTCTAGTTCCTAAGAAATTCCTAAGAAACGGGGAAAAAACAGATCATTCTTGCTGGAGCTCCAAGTCACCCTAAACCCTAAACCCTAAACCCCAGTATAGGCAAGCCTCAGATGCCTCCAGAAAGTGCCGATTTGGCTGCTGACGGGGTCGAGTCGAAGCGCAGCCGCCGGCGCAAGATGCAACGCGAGTCTTCTCCGCTGCCTCCACAGATACTCAGGGGCTGGGTAGTTACCCTTTAACCGTTTTGGTTATAGACATATATATATATATGTGATTTTAAAACCTTTTTGGTTCTATCTATATATATGTACATATGTATATATATATATACATTCAGCCCCCTAAGGATAGCCGATGCCATGCTGCGCCGGCTCGTGTCCAAGGCCATGTCTTTGGTAGCTCGGCATCTGGAAGGTGTTGCTGGATCGCGCATCGCCCGACAGAGGTTCGCTCAAACTCTCGCAGTGTGGCGGCGGGAGGCCTTGAAGGACCTGCGCCGGGATAATGGCATCTCACCAGATGAGGCCCAGAATACTTCGGTGTCCTCACTCAGGGAGTTGGTCGTGAGCTTTCTGGGCGAGATCTTGAGCGAGCCCATCCCTGCAGACTCCCTGTGCTTTGAGTCAGGTGATGAACTAGCAGGAGGCAAGCATCAATGCGATCCTGGTGGCCTAGAAGCAGAGGTAGTCTTAACCTTTGACCTTTAGTTGGGGTACTCTATTCCCGAAATGGGAGTTTACGAAAATAGGGGACCTAAAAAAGACCCCCCCAAATAGTAGGATCTACTGTTGGGGTTCTAAATTCATTTAAGGATTGCCGACATTCTGAGGACTGTTGCCGGGTTTCTGGGCTCCTTGTCTCTCTTTGTATCCCTTTGTCGCCCTTTGTCTCCCTTTGTCTCCCTTCATGTGGGTGGCTTGGCCGGGTTGTTGTTTCCTCGTCTCCCTTCGTCTCCCTTTGTCCCTGCTGTCTCCACTGTTTCTTTGACGTGCCTTTGACTGTTTGCGGTCTGCGGTGGCGTAATTCCTATGTTACTCCTGGGTCTAGGCTAGGATACTGGTCAACTGAGGTGGAGCACCAGCAGATGACAGTGCAACCGGCAAGCCTGCGCTTCCCAGCCCTCAGGAGGATCCAGCAACCCTAATCCCTAAACCCCAAACCCTAAACCCCAAACCCTAAACCCCAAACCCCAAACCCCAACCCCTAAACCCTAAACCCTAAACCGGAGGATCCAGCGAAGAAGGCGGAGAAGAAGACTGCGCCACAGACCTCTGGGCCCATGTCCGGAAAGGTGGGGCATTCAAAGACTTACTACTATTTGCTTAAGAACCTCGGTTTAGGGTTTAGGGTTTAGGGTTTAGGGTTTAGGGTTTAGAGTTTAGGGTTCCAAACGAATAACCATAATAATCCCTATATTACCCTGAATTAGGAAGATTATCTTTCATTTTTTGGGGTTCTTAAGCAATTAGCACCTTCGGACGGTAGACCAAACCCATACAACCTATAGGTTCAGGGTGTAGAAATTTTGGGTTGAGGATTTAGGGTGTAGAAACTTAGGGTTTAGGGTTTGGGGGTTTAGGGTTAGGGTTTAGGTCTATCAGGTTTGGAGTGTAGGGCTTTAACACCTCCTTGAGTCCAAGGCCTGAGATCCTTGCCAAGACTTTATAAGACTACAAATCCTAAACCCTAAACCCTAAACCCTAAACCCTAAACCCTAAACCCTAAACCCGTGAGTTCAGTTACCCTAAACCCTAAACCCGCGAGTTCAGTCACCGTAACAGGGAATCTGCGTGGGGCGAACAGTTCCTTCCTAGCTTTTCAATTTTGGGGGTTTAGGATCTCCACGGAGCCCAACTCACTAAACCCTAAACTTGGGGGTGGGCTCTACCATCACTTTCTATGGGATTTGCGCAACCCACCGTGGGCCCTCCGTTACAGCTCCGTTACAGCACCTGCTACAGTTCCGTTACAGCTCCGTTGCACCTCCGTTACAGCTCCGTCACAGCTTCCGCTAGAGCTCCGTTACAGCTCCGTTGCACCTCCGTTACAGCTCCTTTTCAGCATCCGTTACAGTTCCGTTGCAGCTCCGTTACAGCTCCGGTGCACCTCCATTACAGCTCCGTGACAGATCCCCTTGCACCTCCGTTACACCTCCTTTACAGCTTCCGTTACAGCTCCGTTACAGCTCCGATACAGCTCCGCTGCAACTCCAGCTCCGCTACAGCTTCCGTCACAGCTTCCGTTACAGCTCCATTACAGCTTTGTTGCACCTCCGCTTTACAGCTTCCGTTACAGCTCAGTTATACAGCTCTGTTACAGCTCCGTTACAGTTCTGTTACAGGTGCGTTACATGTTCGTTATCAAGTTGCTGCTTCTGCTACGGCTCCGTTACAGCTTCCGTTACAGTATCGCTACAGCCGATGGCGCTCCGTTGCAGCCTTCCGATGCGGCTCTGTTACAGCTCCGCGACAAATCCGTTACAGCTCCGCTCCTTTCCGTTACAGTTTCTGTTACAAGCCCCGCTACCGGCGAGCATTTTTGTCATAGTAGCGGCCTGCAAATGGTGGTAGAGCCCCACCCCAACCCTAAACTCTAAAGCCTAAACCCTAGACCCCACACCCTAGTCCCTAAACCTTAAACCCTAAACCCCAAACCCTAAACCCTAGCCACGAATGCGAGGCTGTTGACGAGTATCTCCGTGCTGCGGTGGCTGCACGGATGAAATTCGTGCCTGCCGCGGAGAAGCCCGCTGTTGCCAAGCGGGCGCAAGAGGTGGGGCGCCCGGGTTTAGGGCTTAGGGCTCAGGGCTTAGGACTTAGGGTTTAGGGTTAAGGGCCAACACCACACATGGGTGGAACCCTAAGCTTTCAGACCCCGAAACCCCAAAATTGCCTTGAGAAGTGTCGGGGTGCTTTGGAGGGCCTGCTTCGAAGGGCACAAAACCATCATGCATGGTACCTGTCACTCTGTCATAGTGCGGTAAGATTCTTTTCATTTTTAAGGGTTCTTAAACTCACTAAGGAATAGACATTTAGATTTTGAAGGGTTCTTAAACTTGCTAAGGAACAGACGTATAGTTTTTCTTCTACCCCAACCATGAACTTGGAGTCAAGGGACCCTGGGGCAGAAAGAAGCAATCAAACGCCTGCATGTATATGGTTTCATGGCGTCATCTTGCTTGCCGGCTGTGCCAACTAGATGCAGCTGTACATGTGACGGCATGCATTATATAGACTGACGTCTACCGTCACGCTGCCAGGTCAAGAAGAAGATGCAATCACAAGCTTTTTCCACGGAGTCCGAGCTTAGCGCTGAATTCGAGCGCCTGATGGACTCCAAGCCTTAAACCCCTAAACCCCAAACTGCGCCTCGAAACCGAGGCAGAAGTGCACAGAGCACCAGCCCTTGGAGTTAAGAGTGGTTGCTTTCTGGGTTTTAGGGTTTAGGGTTTAGGGTTAGTACTATGTTTAGTACATGTAGGGGCCCCCTAGTCATTTAGGGTGTAGGGTTTCGGGTTTCGGGTTTCGGGTTTCGGGTTTCGGGTTTCGGGTTTCGGGTTTCGGGGTACATGTAGGGGCCTCCTAGTTGTAAGTAGGGTGATAGTAAGCGGGCCCCTACTTGTAACCCTGAACCCTAAATCCTAAACCCTACACCCTAAACCCTAAACCCTTCTCTCCAGACCACTGCATGGTCGGCATGTTGAAGTTGAGCGGAGTCAGGTTCAGGTTTTCGGGGGTCCTGCGATAAAGGGGTTTCGAATCTCGAGGTGGGTTATAGGGTGGGATGTTCCCCCTTATACTAACAGTCCTTAATAGGGATTCTAGTACACCCCTATTATAATCCCTATCAAGGACTGTTGGTATGAGGGGGAGCATCCCAAGTTAGAGAGAAAGAGCACCCGTGCTGTACTCAAACCCGAAGCCCGAAACCGCTCCATGGGGCCAACCGTAGCACCTAGAAGCCCTAGAAGCCTTCTGAACCCTGTAGACCTTAAACAAAAAATCGTAATGTAACAGAAGAAAGTATATCCATTTAAACACTACTACCCCTATAAGCTCTGTAACCCTAAACCGTTAAACCGCCCACAGATTCTATGAACTCCTACGAGGCCCAGAGTGATCCCAGAAAGCCCTGAACGCGCAACCCATGTTTCCAGATGTGACGAGGTTTTCATCAGATCTGCAACCCCTCCCCCCAACTGAATGAAAACCCCTGTAGCCCTAAACCCTACCGGTGGGAGTTTGGGTTTTTTTGTGTAGGGTTCACGGTTGGCCCTGTTAGGAATCGCTACTCTCGGGCAGAGGACCTCGTTCTGCCAAGAGAATTTGGCTGCCATCCGCCTTTCTTTTTGGTTTTCATAAGTTTAGGGTGAATACAGGGGTCGAATATTTCCTGGTAACTAGCAGTATTCTCTTGTGGTCCCTACATAATTTTACTGTCATAACCCCCGAAAACCCTATTCTTTCGGGGTCGGAACCCATGAGCCTCCACCCCAAAAACCCTAAACCCTAAACACTATACTACCCCAAACCCCAAACCCCAAACCCCAAACCCTAAACTCTAACTTAAGCTATGCCACCGCAGCTTTAGGCTTCGTTTTGACGTCCCTCTTAGGGCACGAACTTGGGACGCGCTTGGGCGCCATGGATGAGGAGGCCTGCGAACGTAGGACCCGGAGTAGCCCCTTGTTTCCCTTTGTTTTGGGTTTGGGGTTTCGTGTTTAGGGTTTAGGGCTGCTAGGACCCGGAGTAGGCCCTTGTTTCCTTTCTCTGGGTCGGGGTTCCCTCATAATCCCCTTAAAACCAAAAGTTAGAACCAAAAAGGGTTCCCTTGTTATTCCTATGTTGCCTCCGGGGTCTAGGAGCGGTTCGAGACTTCGGAACTGACTGGCTTACGGTTGAGGGCCCATAAATTGGGAGTTTGGGTTCAGGGTTTAGGGTTCAGGGTTTAGGGTTCGCCCTAACCCTAAACCCTAAACCCTAAACCCTAAACCCTAAACCCTAAACCCTAAACCAGACTTGGAACCCTCAACCCTCAACCCTAAGCCCTACACCTAGTGGGCAGAGAGCAACCTGTAGCACCCTTAGAAAAGGGTCATAGCTCCATTTTGGGAGCATGAGTCTGAGGAGGTTAGGGTCTAGGGTTCGGGGTTTAGGGTTTAGGTTTTAGGGTTTAGGGTCTAGGGTTTAGGTGGACCCTCAACCTCAACCGTTCTTAGAACTTCCTCCGAAAATCGCTCGGGGGTGAGGCTTTAGGGTTTAGGTCCCAGAGAAGCAGTGGAAGACACATGGGCACCCCGTTTTGCTTAAAACGCGTAAGGGCAATTTCCTAAATTAGGGTCTTTTCTGGGTACCCGTTATAAGGCAGCACCCTTTAAAAAGGGATCCCTAAAGGGACCCTAATTTAGAGAACTACCCCGTGCAGGGAATAAGTGCCCACCATGGAACTCTATGTGCAGGACTCAGCTCATCTTGCCTGCAAATCCCAATCCAAGCCGCTTCAAGGTTAAGGTTTAAGGTTTAGGGTAGGGCTTAGGGTTTAGGGTTTAGGGTTTAGGGTTTAGGGTTTAGGGTTTAGGGTTTAGGGTTTAGGGTTTAGGGTTTATTCAGGGTTTGGGGTTTCAGAGTTAGCAGCAAATAGGGAACCTCAGGGCGGTAGTATAGACGGGGGGTAGTAGGAGAACCCATGATTACCTAGAGTCTAGAGCCTGTACTGCTTCTGGAAGGAGGTTCGAAGAAGAGTTTTAGGGGAAGAAAGCTTCAGGTTGAACCCTAAACCCTAAACCCTAAACCCCAAACCCTAAACCCTAAACCCTAAACCCTAAACCCCAAACCCGCTTGTAGTTTCCAGCCGGCACAAAGAGGGTGTGGTTGCAGCCAAAGCTGCTTGGATCCGCAGGCTCCTTAAGACCCTAAACTCCTTCAGGCGCGGAGGGTTTAGGGTCAGGGTTTAAGGTTCAGGGTTTAGGGCGGTTCGGGTTTAGGGTTTGGGGCTTAGGGTTTAGCCCTCAGCCGAACCATTGTAGCGGCGAATGCCCGCCCGCCGAATGGCAGGTGACCCCAACAAGCAATGACGGAAGTACCGGCCCCAGAATGCCTCCTTTGAGGAAAAGGGTTTAGGGTTTAGGAATAGGGTTTCGGGTTTAGGGTTTAGGGTTCAAGGTTCAGAGCTTATTTGGGTTTAGCTAGGGTTTAGGGGTGACCGGCAGGATGAGTTTAAGGTCATGGTCTCGGCGGGTGATGCGGATCAGAAGGAAGTTGGTGGACCCAGAATTTGGGGGAAACCCTAAACCATAAACCCTAAACCCTAACCCCTAAACCCTAAACCCTAGCTACAACCCAGACGCGGGGAGACCGGCTAGGCTGTCGGAGTCTGTGAGTCGGAATGAAGTATTCGAGTGGATATCCTTGCGCCTCACGTGGCACGGGTGTAGGGTTTAGGGTTTAGGGTTTAGGGTTTAGGGTTTAGGGTTTAGGGTTTAGGGTTTAGGGTTTAGGGGTTGAGCATGGCTGTTTCTTCTGGGTGACATGAATGCTTCTTCACACTCTGTGTGGCAGAACCTAGGCCCCAAGTTGGGTGTCCTTTGCGAGCCTGAAACCCTAAACCCAAAACTCGTGCGAGTGCGATGGTCGAAACCCTACCCTCCAAACCATAAAGCCTAACGCCTAAACCCTAACCCTAGAACCCTAAAGCACTAAGAGCCCTGTTGGAGGCCTGTACTTGACACAAGCACTGCCCTAAGCCCTGAACCCTAACCCCTAACACCCTAAACCCTAAAGCCTAAAACTTCGAACCCTAAACCCCAAGCTCTACACCAAAAGCGAAGCTTAGTACTGTAGCTTCACTCAGATTGGGACCTCGGACAATCTTTCAGCATGTTTTGGTAGGGTTTCGGCTTCATTCAGGGTTTAGGGTTCAGGATCTCGGATTGAGATAACCGCTAACTGAGCTCTAACTTATAAGAACCCCTAACCCTAAACCCTAAACCCTAAGCATACCTGGCTTTAGGGCTGGTCTACATTGCACCCGAGGCCGTCGACGGAAGGCGCCCGAGAAGATCATCTACAGCTGGCCGCCTGACGTCCTAAACCCTAGAACCCTAAACCGTAAGCCCACCGCCAAGTTCAAAAGGTCTAGGGCTTCAGGTTGTAGGGCCTTCGGGACTTCGCGGCCTTATGGGATTTAGGGTCGCTGAACCCCAAACCCCAAACCCTAAACCCTGAACCCCTGACATTCGAGCCATAGGGCTGTGAGGCCTCAAGTGCTTCTTGGCGTGTCGGAGTCGAATCTCACGGCCTCTGCTTCCTGTGGGTTGACAGTTGAGGGCGTAGAGTCAAAAAAACAAACGAGTCACACACGCACACACTAAAGCCTTAAGTGGCAAACCCTAATCCTCAAAGCCCCCCACCCTGCCCCCCCCCCCCCAAAAAAAAAAAAGAAACACACACACACACACAAGCAAAAAAACTAAGAATACAACCTAAACGCCCTAAACCCTGTGGAAAGGTCGGACCTTGAGACGAAGAAGTCCAACGCCGCGTGCGCCATGGACCGCTTGGAGTTTCTGGTCTCCACCAGGACGCTCTCTTGGGTGCCGTTTCGGGTTTAGGGTTCAGGGTTCAGGGTTTAGGGTTTAGGGTTTAGGGTCTAGGGTTTAGGGTTGGGATGTCCTTAGTAGGGGGGGTACTACAATCCCTATTCAGGACTGTTAGTATAAGGGGGAACATCCCATGTTTAGGGCTTAGGGCTTAAGGGTTAGAAGCCTACTGCAAATAAAGGGTAAAGGGTTTAGGGCTTGGGTTTCCTGGGGGGGGGGGGGGGGTGGGTTGTAACAAGGGTGCGCAGGTTCTGGGGTTTAGGTGCTCTTTTGGGTGTAAGTTTCATTTAAGTTGGGTTGGCTTCGGGTTGATAGGGCTTAGGGTTTCTTGAGCGTTTATAATCGTAGCGTTTGCAGGATTTCTTGCTTCAGTTATTTATTGATACTTTGTTGGGGTGGGCGGTTTTGAGGCGTTTGTAAATCTTTGGGGTCTCCTTACTGCGGGCAGGGGGGGGTGGGGAATTCACCCAAAACCTAAACCCTAAACCCTGAACCCCAAGCTCTGTTGCTAGGACCCAGAGGAGACCCTTGTTCCCTTCTTTTAGGGTTTAGGGTTTAGGGCTTCACAATTACGCCCCTTTAAAAACAAAAAGAGCGCCCTTTTTTAATTCCCAGGCTACTCTTGGGTCTAGTTGCCTATGTAGAATGGGTACACCCTAATCCCTAGTCCTTAAACCCTAAACCTCAAGCTTTCTGGTTAGTTCTGTTGATGATACGCAAGGATCTCACATGTCTTTGGAAGCGTGCGAAGCGATGGCTCGATGTTTAGGGTCTGGGGTTTGAGAGGTTTAGGGCGTTTAGGAATAGGGCTTAGGGTTTGGGGTTTGGGGTGTAGGGTTTAGGGTGGGTGTTGCAGGGTTTAGAGAGCTTTGGGCTTATCAAGGGCCCCAGGAAGCAGCCGAAGCCCCAAACTGCATAGGGCTTATGCTTCTGGTTTGATAGAATGCAAACCACTTTCAGACTCAGTTGGAGGGAGACCTCTTGCCTTCCTGCACATTATTTCCGTGACTTGCTGGGCACTTGGGATTATGCATATACAAATATACGTATATCCATCTATTTATCTTTCGATCGATCTATGTATGGATAGTTCTCCAAAATTAGGGTCCCTTTTTGGATCCCTATTCCAAGGCTGCCGTACTATATAGAGGACCCCCGAAAAAGGGACCCTAATTTTCAGAACTACGCATCTACACACTGTTTTTTGGGAAGACTTTTCGGAGGGTCTACAGGCCCTAAACCCTGAACCCTAAACCCTAAACCCGGAGCTGTAGCACTCCCAGCCCAGCCAGTGAACCTTCGACCAGCCCATGCACCTGAGGTTTAGGGTTTAGGGTTTAGGGTCGGCAAAAGTCCAGAAGTCCCAATGTCTCCGCACCCTGTGTGAAACCTACTCCGCGAGAGCCGCAAACCTCGTTCAGCTAGGCAGAAGGCAATCACGAAAGCCTAAATAGCTGAACTGTCAACCCTTGGCCGAAATGAAACCCTGAACCCTAAACCCTGAACCCTAAACCCTAAACCCTAAACCCTAAACCCTGAAGGCCCGAAACCTAACCCTCAAACCCTAAACCCTAAGCCTTGGTGCGACGTGTGATGGCAGGAACCGCTTCACTGAGTTTCGGGCACAGGAGGCCGATCGCCTCAGGCCTGCCTGGCTGTGGCTTTAGGGTTTAGGGTTTAGGGTTTAGGGTTTAGGGTTTAGGGTTTAGGGTTTAGGGTTTAGGGTTTAGGGTTTAGGGTTTAGGGTTTAGGGTTTATACTTGTGGGACGTACTTGAAAATTCATGGGCATTTTGAGCTTAGGGTCTAGGGTTTAGGTCTAGTACTTGTTGGTCCACGAGTAAGTATAAGTAAGGTTATAGGTAAGGCAACCTACATTAAAACCTCTCATCCGGGTACCTAGAACTCCTTTTTTCTAACTGCCCGTGAACCTTCAAGTGCCCTACTCGAATGTTCATGAACATAAGGTGGGGGTGCATGAGGGGGTGCATGCCCTAAACCCTAAACCCTAAACCCTAAACCCTTTGAAGTTTCGACTTGGCTTCTAACTGACTAACGGTTATCACCGACTAACACTAACTAACTAGCCATCTAACTATCCTAAACCCTAAACCCTAAAACCACCAGCTTCCTAACTAACGAACAAACTCGAGCGATTCTATCCCTCACTCGAGCACCTAGACCAACTACCCATAAGCCTTCAAGTAGACTCAAGACCTCGAAACTGCCCATAACATTAGGTTTTAGGGTGTAGGGTTTAGGGTTAAGTTAGGGTTTACATGAAAAGCCTGTACGAAGAGTAGGCCCCTATTCCCCTTTTTTTGGGGAGGGGGGGGGGGGGTTAAGGTGCCCGTATAAGCCCTTCTAAACAACAAAGGATTGACCTTTTTGATTCCGTTGTTCGGGTTGGGTCTAGAGCATTGTTATGGCAGCCCATGAAAGTACCAAAGTCTCTGCAGCCTTGACTCCCTCAGATGGCAGCCTCTGTCGAGCATAGGTATGGGGTTTGTGGGTTCGGGTTGAGTTTGAAGGAACGAACAGCGTTGCGCTTCTTGGGGCAATAGTTTCCTAGCTTTCACCTTCAGGGTTAGGGATAAGTGACTCCGTGCTGTAGGGCTCGAGTACGAAGGCAGCGGACTCTAAACATAAACGCAAACAGCCAAGAGACTTAACAAGGCATGCAAACACTCAGTGGCCTCAAGCCATCGAGCAGCAGCAGACGAGTGCCATCCAGCTTTGATTCGACTCAGGTCGAGTAATCTAAGGGTCGGAAGAATTGCTAGCAGTATCCCCTTATGGTCCCTTTATAATTCTTCTATAATCTCCCCCAGAACCGTATTCGAATTATTAAGGCCCCTATATTAGCACATGGCTTCCAGCTGGTACCCCGCGAGCCTCGACCCCAAAGCTCGACCCCCTGGGAGCTTCCTAAACCCTAAACCCTAAACCCTAAACCCTAAACCCTAAACCCTAAACCCTAAACCCTACACACTTCATGCAAGACCCTTAGATGCACAAGGACGAGTTGGCTATCCCAACTCACATCTTGTAGTCGGGTTTGCACTTTTGGGGGGGGGGGGGGGCTCTGATAAACAAGAGTCCCTGAAAACCTTGAACCCCACATAGTCCCTGTCAGGGTGTAGGTTTAGGGCTTCGGGGTTAAAACAAGACTTGGCCCTGAACCGCAGGTTTGCAATCCGCTCCAAGCAAGCTGCCAGTCCACACATGCGGCCGCCTGCCTTGGATTGAAGAGTTTTTAGGGCTTTGGCAGATTTTAGTCTTTAGGCTTTCAGTCGTAGCCCCTATTCCAAGTTTTGGTGTCTGGTTCTTCCCGTTGAGCCCAGAAAACTCCCATGAATCCAAGTTGCAGAATTGGGGATTTTGTCGTTACCCTCTAATGATATTCGAGGGGTTAGTGAATTAGGTGCCCGTCAGGTTTTTGCAGCTAGGGCTTCGCAGGGTTTCGGCGCACGAATGGCAACGGGCAGTATTGCCTCATATGCTTCGTTCGAGTTGTGTGAAACCCCAGACCTAGAAGGTTCGTGTTGCTGTGGGAACGATAGTAACATTGATGCATAGGGTATATGGTCCCTGAGCCCTACACCCTGAACCCTAAACCCTAAACCCTAAACCCTAAACCCTAAACCCTAAACCCTTTCTCTGTCCAAAGGAGGGGGCCTTCCAGGGTCCAACCTCGAAACCTTTCTCCGCAGTTTCAGAGTTTAGGGTTGTGTTGTGTCGAAGGGTCTGAAGGGGTGGGGTTTGGAGTTTAAAGGTTTACTTTTCGGGTTTAGGGTTTGGGACCATAGCCTGATGCAAAAGGGTTTAGGACGTGTAAGGGTTCTGTGGCAGCTGAAAAAATCAGGGCATGTGCGCTGCAGCCCCTGCCCAAAAAGGTACTATCAAGCCCGAGACTTCCCCTAGTTGAGGGACGAGAGGAGGGACCCTTATAAGGAACCTTACCCAGCCCTAAACCCTAAACCCGAAACCCTAAGCCCTAAGCCCTAAACCCTAAACCCTAAACCCTAAACCCTCTGCCCGAACAGCCCAAAACTGAGGAAGACCTTGTCGCTAAGCGCTGAGTCTGCCGCTGCTGTGCTGGTCAAGCAGGACCCCGAACCCAAGAGCATGGTCACCGTGGTTGAGGGTGTTGGTTTAGGGTTTAGGGTTTAGGGTTTAGGGTTTAGGGTTTAGGGTTCAGGGTTCAGGGTTCAGGGTTCAGGGTTTAGGGTTTAGGGTTTAGGGTTCTTGAAGCCCTCAACTCTACAAACCCTCTATACGATAGAACCCCAAACCCAAAAATAACCCTGAGCCCTTCTGACTAAACCCTAAACGCCATACACTACAGAAGAATCGCGTCGGCGGCATTCTCCTACGATTAGGCTCTCGGCTACGAGGTATGCGAAATTCACGACGTGAGCACTTCCCGGCCATGATCTTGGCAAGTTTGTCGCAACAAAAAGGAACCTCTGTTCTGACTGACTGCTTTTTCTGGTGGGGGTGGGGGGTGTGTTAAGATTTAGAGGGTTTTAGAGTTTAGGGTTTGTCGACTCTCGGTGGTGGAGGGAATCCCTAAACCCTAAACAAACCCTAAACCCTAAACCCTAAAAAGGGTGTTTCGCGCGAGGACCAGACACTCACCAAAGCCCAAACCGGCTCGCTCCGCCTCGAAGCGCTCAACAGGTCGGATCTTCGGGGTTGGAGGATTTGTTCGGGAGTTTAGGGTTTAGGGTTTAGGGTTCAGGGTTTAGGGTTTAGGGTTTAGGGTTTAGGGTGTTTGGGATGTTCCCTCTTGTACTCACAGTCCTTAAGAGGGATTGTAATTGGGGGTAGTAGTACTATAATCCCGATGTAAGGACTGTTAGTATAAGGGGGAACGTCCCAAGTTTAGGGTTTAGGGTTTGAAACCCTAAACCCTAAACCCTAAACCCTAAACCCTAAACCCTAAGGTTTAGGGCCAAGAGGTTAAGGTCTTCGACTCCACTCCACCGCCTCAGTCCCCAAAAAAGCACATCGAGCCTCAACCCTAAACCCTAAACCTCAACCCCTAAACCCTGAACCCTAAACCCGAAGCCCGAAACCCTAAACCCTAAACCCTAAAAAAATACCCTAAACCCTAAACCAACCCCCCCCCCCGGTCCTGGTGCGCCTGGTGCTCGTTTTGTGGGCAGGTTTGTGGTGGAGAAGGAGAAGCACACAGGCGGGAGTAGGGTTTAGGGTTTAGCGTTTAGGGGTTGGGGTTTGAAGTTGGTTTAGGGTTTAGGGTTTAGGGGTTAGGGGTTTGGAGTTTACTTTTTGGATGGGTTTAGGGTCTAGGTTTTAAGGGTTTTAGGGTTAAGGGGTTCGGGGGGAATTAGGGTTTGGGGGGTTTAGGGTTTAGGGGTTGGGGTTTAGGGTTTAGGGTTTCTGGTTTTGGGGTTTAGGGATTAGGGGTGTAGGGGTGTCGGGGTGTGGGGGTTTAGAGGTTTAGGGTTTTGTGGTTTTTGGTTTAGGGGTTTAGGCTTGGGGTTTAGGGCGTTTATGGGTTTAGGGGTTTAGGGGGTTTAGGGGGTTTAGGGGGTTTAGGGTTTTCGGGTTTAGGGTATAGGGTTTAATTAGGGTTTCAGGGGTTTAAGGAAGAAGGGTTTAGGGTTCAAGTTGAGGGTTCAAGGGCTGAGGGGTTGAGGGGCTGAGGGTTTTGGGGTTGAGGGGTGGGGTTCAGGGGTTTAGGGTTTAGGTTTCCAGGAGCTCAGGGATCTAGGGTTTAGGGTTTGGGGTTAGGGGATCAACCCTGGGCGGGCAAGACCCCAAACCCTAAACTCTTACTCTTCGGGTAGTTTTATGGGTCCCTGAATGGGGTTCAGGGTTTAGGCTTTAGGGTTTAGGGTAGGTTCATGGGCTAATATGGTCCCTTACCTTGCTTAAAGGGTTCTGATGTATGGACCCTTAGTTCTCATCGAGTATTTAAGGGGTATGTAAGGGCCCCCTTTTAAGGGCCCATACTAAGGGACCACGGAACTATATACCATAATATGCCCTAAACCCTAAACCCAAAAAATCGAGTCATAGTGCAAATAATGCTACGGTGCTACAAGGAGGGCGGCCCCCCCCCAAGTTACCAGTAGAGTCATAAGGGCCCTGAATTGGGTTATACGGACCCTAAATTAGGTTAGAAGTCCCTTCACTATAGTTAGTATTGTTTAACGGGCCCCTACTTGCAGATCCCCAAGAAGCAATCATCCGAAGGCAGCTTGGGCCCTGAAGTCCAGACCTGTCGGGTCGTTTTTTTTTTTTTCGGACCCTCTGGGTTAAGACATTCGGAAAAGGGTTTAGTGTTCAGGTCTTGGGGTTTAGGGTTTAGGGTATAGGGTTTAGGGTTTACGGTTCAGACGCGCAGAGGGAGTTGGAAGTGGCCTCTATACTACCCCCCTAGGTTCCCCTGGTAGTTAAGGCTATTAAGGGATACTTAAGCCTAATGAAGGTTATTTAAGGGGGGAACCTGGGGGGTAGTCTAGAGGAGGGTAGTGTAGAGGGGGGTAGTAAGGAAACCCGTGAGAAGGGCCCTGACAAGGTAAACCGAAAGTGTCAGGGTTTAGGCTTTAGGGTTTTGGGTTTAGGGTTTTGGGTTGAGGGTTTAGGGCCCCAAATGTGTATTCACCGAGTTAAGGGGGCTCCTTAACTGTATGTAATATGCAACTATACCCCTTTCACAATACCTAGAACCTTATCAAAAAGGATCCCCCAAAGTGTGTACCCCTATGTTTCGGAACCCCCCCTCCTGGAACAAACCCTAAACCCTGGACCCTAAACCCTAAACCCTAAACCCTAAACCCTAAACCCTAAACCCTAAACCTCAGTCCCTAAACCTAAACCCTAAACCTAAACCCTAAACCCTTCAAAAGCCTCTGAGAAAAGGTGGAAAGCCGCAGGAGCAGATGGCATTGAGCTGCCGGGCCGAAGTTGAAGGAACTCAAGGAGGGAACCGTATAAGGGACTTTAGGGTTTAGGGTTTAGGGTTTTGGGGGGTTTTGGGGGTATTTGGGGGGTTTTGGGGGGGCTACTTAGGTATCACCGGGACAAGCTAAGGTGTATATATGGTGCAGCGTCTTCCCCCCCCCCCCCAACACCCCCCCCCCCACCCCCCCCCCACACCCCCCCCCACCCCCCCCCCCCCCCCCACCCCCCCCCCCCCCCCCCCCCCCCCCCCCCCCCCCCCACCCCCACCCCACCCCCCCCCCCCCACCCCCCCCCCCCCCCCCAACACCCACCCCCCCCCCCCCCCCACCGCCCCCCCACCCACCCCCCCCTCCCCAAATTCTTTCCCCGCCGGTTTGGGCCGCTCTGTGGGGTGCTGTGGTTGGGGTTTAGGGTTTAGGGTTTAGGGTTGGGTTTAGGGTTTAGGGTTTAGGGGGGGTGGGGTGGGGGGGGGGTGGGGGGTACCGACACGGGACACGGAACCACCATATATAGGGGTTTATAGGGGAATAAGATTCAGGGACCCCCTCCTTTTACCCCTTGAAGTGATTGGTAGCCAGTACCTTTAGGGTTTAGTGTTTAGGGTTCGCTTGAAATCTGTCTGAAGGGAAGTACTCAGCTTAGACGGTTTAGGGAGTTCAGGTGCAGTAGACAGGATGAGAAATGTTGATAGTATTGCCGTGTTTGGGGGATCCTGGGGCGTGGGAGTGAAAGCAAGACTTTCGACCAGCCAGCCCTGATCCACGCCTTAAAGCCAAACATCCCCCCGCCCCGCCCGTTCCCCCCCCACTTTGGCTCAAGGCTCTGCCAGATAACGCCGGAACAGCCCCACCACCCCCAGCCTCCACCCGCAGTCCCCACCCAACACCCTGAATCCTAAAGCCCTTTGCGGTTAAACAAGCCCCAAACCCTAAACCCTCCACTGGCTGGTTGCACTAGCGTAGAGCATGCTGTGGCAGAGAGTTCTTGCAGAAAAGCCCTCCACGTCTTCCCAGGTTACGCAAAGAAGTCCAAGCCCTTGTGTCTTGGCACGCGCGGTTTAGGGTTTAGGGTTTAAGGGTTCGGGGTTAAGGAATGTCAGACTTGCTGAGCATTGGTCGCATGCCTCACGCTGCCCAGTATCCCTCATGCCAACCAGCTCGTATGGGGTATCATGCAGTGTTCCTATGAAACCCTAAACCCTAAACCCTAAACCCTAAACCCTAAACCCTAAACCCTAAACCCTAAACCCGCGGTCCTTTCTGGCGAGCATGTGGACTCTGAGCGTGAGTGTTCCGGATTGTCCTGTCGTGAAGCAACTCCTGAGCTCACATTCACTTGGTTGCCAGGGCCTAACACTTTGTCTTAGGTTCAGGGTTCAGGGTTCAGGGTTTAGGGTTCAGGGTTCAGGGTTTAGGGTTTAGGGTTTAGGGTTTAGGGTTTAGGGTACTATTATTAAAAAGATACCCGCGGTTGCTGCGGAATCCACAGGTAGGCCCCAGAGTGGGCAGTACTTGGAGGTTCATGGTACCTATTAACCAATGATAACTTTACTTAGAACCCACCTATTAAGCCCCCCTTAAGTGCCCTAAGATGGTTCTAAGTACAGGAATAAGTACAACCCTATCCCCTCATACTTGGTTAATAAGTACCCTGAACCTCCAAGTATGGGTTGGGCGGTCGAAAGCGGAAGCCCGCGGGCCTAGTGGATCTCGAGACTACAGCTGTTTAACGTTTAGGGTGTGGGGTTTAGGGTTTAGGGTTTAGGGTTTAGGGTTTAGGATTTTCGACTTAATACACAAGCCCAGCGGCCCGGTCGCTAAAGACCTGGGGCCTTTCGTAGAGAATCTGGATGCCTTATCATCCCAGTCCTGAGGGGGTTGGGTTTAGGGTTTAGGGTTTAGGGTTTAGGGTCTAGGGTCTAGGGTCTAGGGTTTAGGGTTTAGGGTCTATGGTTTAGGGTTAGAGTTTAGGGTTTCGGCATTCAAGGTCGGCGAGTGGGGTTGCTTCTCGTGAGAACTTAAAGGCGGGCCCAGCACTTTAAATCCTAAAGTCCTAAACCCCAAAACCCCTGAACCTTACAAGCCCTAAACCGCACAAAGCCCTCTAAGCCCTACAAACCCCCCTTCTCCTAACCCCAAACCCTATACCCTAACCCTAAACCCTAAGCCCTAAACCCCAAACCCTAAATCCCAAACCGTAAGCCCTAAGCCCTACAAACCTTAGACACCGCTTGTATCCATTCTGCTCGGTTCCATCCCAGGGTGAAGCCATACCCTCACTACGACGACCTCTACAACATGCAGCTTAGGGAGCGTGGGCTGGTTTAGGGTTTATGGTTAAGAGTTTAGTGTTTAGGATTTAGGGTGCAGGGTTTAGGGTGTAGGGTTTAAGATGGTCCAGGGCTGCTGTGGTTCGTGGTGTTGTGGAGGGTTCGGACTGGAGTCCATTAGTTAGACTCAGGGAAAGCACCATTTACGCTATTAATAAAATAACCCTAAAC